GAACTCTATCTGCTTTGCTCTATTTAAGTAGCACTGCTTGCACTACTGTACTTTAGTTTTATCCTCTTGTTCCCTATGTACACTTCATAAAGATGTCTCTAGTAATAGACTTAGTTGTCTATTCAAGTCTCAGTCTGAAGCCTAGCTTCAACCAGTATACACTCTCAAACCACTGTTAGTTACAGTGGCTCAGTTTACCAGTCTAGTCTAAGTGTAGAACATTAGCGTGTATAAGTCCTAGTAACAGTTAACCAGTCAAACTCCCGATCCTCAGTTGTTAGGTCCCTTAACACAGACTAGTGATAGTCATTCACCTGATTTAACTCAGAATTATCCTCTACAGTAAACCGCCCTCAAGCCTTTTACTTAGACACTATCAGATAGTGAGTATAGTCAGGGTTAGGGTTAGGTTTGGGTTCTAGGGTGCAGTCACTGTGGGTCATCACATGACAATCCCAAAATATGAAAACACATCCAAAACAACATCCAAAACACCTCTCTGAGAGACCCTAATCCCAACATTCCCCTAACAGGTCTGGTATCAAGTGTGACAACAAGTCACAAATGAGACACCATGTAATAAAAAGCATATTCCAAGACAAGGGCAAGTACCCAGTAAATGCAACAAAGGTTGAGCAGCACTCATTCATATCTTACAAATTCAAGAATGCCACTAAGCAGAAAGAATCTACAGACCATTGCGTACCTTGTAGTCTTTTCCCACAATGTCTGCTCCTCTAATTGCATTGAACACAATATCTTCAGTGATTACTCTGTCCATATTCCAGATCGTCTCGTTCGGCGCGCATGCGAGAGCTGCCACCAGTCTCAACTCTTCATCGGTTGCGTTTTCAATGCCCAGATCAGTAAGCGTTGTGGGGAGCCCAACAGAAACCATCAACGAGATGTAGCGGTCCATCTCGGACGTGGGAGCGCCGTCAAGGATGAGTTGGCAGACTACGCCAAATGCGACTGTGTGACACATGTTAGTCGATCGGGAGGTGAGTGGGCTCCAAAAAGGAGATCATGACCTTTCTCCCCGTGCATCTTAGCATGCAAGACACGATTGTTGATGGCCGTAAGGCCATTGTGAATCTAAAAGTAGGCATCAACAGGATATTCAACAGGCTCGAACGCGGTTGAGCCTCACAGCATGCGCCACAGCGTTACCACCAGACTCAAAGCCCAGGCCAGAGAGAAGGGTATTCGCCTCCACGACCGCTTCAAACGCTGGAGTGACCGCCTTTGCTTTATTTGCCTCTACCGCCTGTCGGCCGTACTTGAATAGAATCTCCTCGCACTTCGCGCCGATTGCTGAAGCAATCTCGGTTGGAAGCCCGCCGCCAGAGTTCGGGCTATTCCGCGCGGCCTTGGCTTCAAGGTTTGTTGCAAGCGCATCGCCGATGCCTGACGCAAGGAAGCGTGCGGGAGCTTGGACGATAATGCTCGTGTCGACGAGAACGACGGAGGGGTTGTTCGAGTAGAACCGGTAGTTCTCGAACTCACCGTTCGGCCGGTAAAGGACGGAAAGAGCAGAGCAAGGCGCGTCGGTCGATGCAGTCGTCGGCAACACAGCAACCTCCAGTCCCAAGTCGTCCGCAATAGCCTTAGCGCTATCGATGGTCTTGCCACCGCCGAGCGCGATGATGAAGTCGACTGACTTCTCCTTGCTGAGCGCACCGAGACGGGTAATCTCGTCTTTCGATGCCTCGCCGCCGAAGATGCCTCGCGTCACCTTGAAGTTTGCTATTTCGAGTGCAGTTTTAAGCTCCTTGCCAGCTGGCATAGAATATCATGAGCGTATGCAAAGCCAACGTGCAATAAGAAACACACCGATCTGATAGACAAGGTCATCAGAAAGCAACAGCGGTGCGGCTCCGAAGGATGAAAGGTACTTTGGTGCATGATGGATCACGGACGGGCCCTGGATATACTTGGAGGGTGACTGGAAGAGCTTCTCAGTAACGCGGTTCAAGTTGGGCATGTTGTACTTGTTATGGGGTTCGCAAGTGAATGTTGAATTGCGGCGCAAGATGCAGCAAGATATACGATACGGCTTGTGAGAGTGAGCCTTCTGAAGCGGCCCGGGTCAGCCGCTACTATTCAATACTCAGGCCACTCGCGGAAGTTGTAGCCTAGTTTGTTGCACATGTCGTGGTCAGACCCCCACATGGGTAGTAAACACAGTTGAAAACGACATCATCGCCGAGTAATTACGCCAACAACGTCTTCACCGTTGGAATCAAGGGGTATATAAGATTTGTTTTGAGATTCGAATAAAATCATCCTCGTCAGTGGTGCTGATGCAGTGTAGATAGGAAATTGATTGCACCTGTGGGACCGTCAAGCTCAGGCGCAATTTGAGCCCATCGCGGGTAAGGCTGAGTCTGAGATAGGGCCCTAGTCTCACAATGGCAGAAGGCAGACTGATAGTATCACATTCACTCTTCGCGGTGATGGATGACCGGCATGAGGTATCGTTTGTCGACCGGAACGATCCCCTTGATGGCTGAAAACACTGTCGGTCTGGAATGCATGGAATGCAAATGCTCAGATGTAGAGCTAGGGTAGGGCTGCTAAACAGGAACATACCAGGAGAATAGCCTGCCAACCACCTGTTTGTGTAGCAATAAGAATAACACCTACAACAAATAGCTGCAGGTCAGTAATAAGGGCGCTGGGCTCGAGTCAAAATTTATCACATGAAGCCAAAACAATGACGCCAAGTCTTGTCACATTCGATTGCTCACTAATGTCGACTCGGATATTCTCGCATTAGCACCAGCAGCCGTGCAGCCGCGCAGTATTTGACGTCGAAGAACAGTATCTACAAAGCCAAGGGACGAAATCAAGCATGACCTTGGAATCTGAATTGATAACAGCGGGTGGAAGATCAGACTCAGGATTGGCCTGGCCTGTTATGGTGCTTGACGGCGGACTGGTGAGCGTGCCTTATGGTGTCTCCCATACAAAAGACATTCAGAGTCGAATGTATGCAACGGGTACGGAATTGTATTAACAGGAAGTTTCATCAGGGTACAACATTGGAAGATACATTTCAGCGTGACATCTCCACGCCCCTATGGTCCGCAAAGCCCATTGAGGATGACCCGGAGGTTGTCATCGCTGCGCATCTCGCGTTTCTACATGCAGGTGCACAAGTAATTCTCACAGCGACGTACGTACCCGTTTTTCGCGTGCAACCTGGCAATGGACTAAGGGAACAAAATGAACTAGGTATCAATGCGCATTCGGGACATTCAAGCGAGCAGGATATACACAGGAAGACGCAGTACGCATCATGCGGCGAGCTGTACAGCTCGCCGCGGAAGCAAGAAGAAGATTTATCAGTGAGCAGAATGGTTCAGATCAGAGAGAAAACCTGAAAGACATCAAAATCGCACTGTCCCTGGGCCCATTCGGCGGAACATTGTCGCCGACACAAGAATTTGATGGATGCTATCCGCCACCGTATGGTCCGAAGGAGTTCGTCGCTGGAGGCGCGAACCAAAATGCATTTGACGACTCAGAAGAAGGGAGAGCGAAGGAGCAGGTAGCCGTTGACGCACTAAATTCCTTTCATCTGGAGAGATTGCGAATGTTCTCAGAAGACCCAGAGACGTGGACGGCGATAGACTACTTGGCGTTTGAGACAGTGCCGTTGAAAAGAGAGGCGGTAGCAATTCGAAAGGCGATGCAAGCGTTGAATGGCGAGCTGGGCAGAGATGGGAAGAACACAAAGCCATGGTGGATTACAACCGTATGGCCCGAGGGCAAATTGCCGGAGGAACGGAGGCATGGAGGAGAGAAAGTACAGATTGGGGAGATCGTAGAGGCAACTGTGCAAAGCACAGGCGAACAGCAGGGAGTATATCTAGGCGTGCCATGGGGAATCGGGATAAACTGCACCGATCCTCAGTTCCTGGACCAGCTGCTGACAGAGTTGACAGATGCAGTGGAGAAGATCCACGGCAGGGACAACGGTTGCGCTATATGGCTTGTGGCTTACCCTAACAGAGGAGTCGTATATGATATCGGTACCAGGACGTGGACGCAGACTCGAGAAGACGGAAACGAGTGGGCAATCAGGCTTGCAGACGTGACGGCACGCCAGATGCAGCGAGGTATCTGGAAAGGATTGCTCGTGGGCGGATGCTGCAAGACGGGACCAGAGGAGATCGTGAAACTGGCGGAGAAGATGCAGACTTGAGCCATGTGAAGTTCCGTAACAAGTAGAAACCTGTAAGCGAATCATATGCGAACGTATGAAACATACCACGACTCCGTGCACTACCAACTCGGACCTGGCTGCATGGCAACGCCGTGTACAGTCCGCCGCATACTGTAGTGGGTTTAACTTGATGGAGAATTGAAGTAGTACCGGACGGTGGCTGAAGAGGCGTGGGATGTTTGCGGCAACTTGCGCCGGGATGCTCGGCGCTTAGGGACGAGGACAACGCAGAGCACACCAGAATCGCTGCCCGACAGTCTGCTAACGTCGCCAACGCCGACGTCCTCTTCAAAATAACTCTCAGCGGTGCGTATTCTGCTGCTGTCTTGATTCGGCTACGAAAGAACAGCCCAAATCGGCCTTGGCTGGCGGTGGATGCGTCTCGTCGTGCTCGGATGTTGATGTGGCCCTTGCTCCCTCTAGGCCCAAATTCAAGATGTCGTCAAAACTACCCTCGGTCCTCAGCGCAACCGACGAGGAGATCCAACTCCTTCTCGCCGCACAGGCACATATTGGCAGCAAGAACTGTGACAAGCAGATGCTCCCCTATGTCTGGAAGCGGAGATCTGACGGTCAGTTTCTCTCCGCCTGCAGCACATAAAAACTATGTCTATTTAGCTCATACTCAGGTATTCACATTATTAACATCGGCAAGACCTGGGAAAAGCTCGTCTTTGCCGCGCGCATCATCGCCGCCATCGAAAATCCGAACGACGTCTGTGTGATCTCCGCCCGCCCATACGGCCACCGCGCCGTCCTCAAATACGCTGCCAACACTGGCGCACAGGCTATTGCCGGCCGCTTCACGCCCGGAAGCTTCACCAACTATATCACGCGTTCGTTCAAGGAGCCGCGTCTCATCGTCGTCACCGACCCCCGCGTGGACCACCAGGCGATCCGCGAGGCGTCATACGTCAACATTCCCGTCATCGCATTCTGCGACACAGACGCGCCCCTCAAGTTCGTTGATGTCGTTATCCCGACGAACAACAAGTCCCGCCATTCGATCGGTCTCATGTGGTGGTTGCTCGCGCGCGAAGTCCTCCGCCTCCGCGGCACGATCCCCCGCACAACCGACGGCTGGAACGTTATGGTCGACATGTTCTTTTACCGCGACCCTGAAGAAGTTGAGAAGCAGCAACAGGAGGAAGCGCAAGCCAAGGCAGCGGCGGCGGCGGGGGGAGGAGCGG